AATACTTAGAAAAATATTACTGAAACTACTGAAAGATATTCAGTAATAAATTACTGTAAATTACTGCCAGTAATATTTTGGCCAGTAGTTCAGTAATACTTTTCTTTAAGGGATTGGAAAAGAACCTATTAATCCTGAAATATTAATGTAATATTTAACTATTTTTCTCCTGTCTTTGAAATCTATTATAATAACAAGTAATTAATTGTTCAAACTTTAAATTTTTATACTTATTTTGTTAATTTTTGAGAAAATTAAGAAGTATTTGAAGTTGGACTTTAAAAATCTGAATACAGGCATAAAGGAATATCTTTGACAACAAATCACATTTCAAAAACGTATTTCTACTTCTGGTCCTTCCTTTGTCCCTTTCTCTCTCTCTCTCTCTCTCTCTCTCTCTCTCTCTCTCTCTCTCTCTGTCTGTCTGTCTGTCTGTCTGTCTGTCTGTCTGTCTGTCTGTCTGTCTGTCTCTCCGTTCCCCCCGCGATGTGTCGCGACGTTGGAAATTGAACTCGCCGAAATTACGCCGGTCCCCGGCCCGGCGACGTTTTCAGACACGCGGGCACGTGCGCGCGTCATCGCTCTCACATACGACACGTCGTCGTCGGGAACGCGAGAAAGCGAGAGTGCTATATCGATCCCGCGCGGCTCGCGCGAGGTCTACCTACCTCAACCCTAACGTCGGCATCGCGTACGCTGAAGCCTGAAACGACGACTCGCCCGACGTGTCCGCTGACTCCGGCAACGACTCGCGTTTGTTTTTCCCCGTCGATGAACTTTTGAGGCCGCGGACCCGCTCCCCTGTCCCACTAATCATTCATCACGTCCGCCGTTTCGCGATATCGGAGGAATTCTTGCTTACTTCGAACGCGGTAAATCTCTTATCGCAAACCGGCGATCTCTCTGAGTCACTTAATCGTATATCGTACTTCGCTCAATAGAATTTAATCTTTTTTCGCAGAAGTAATAAATATGAATAGTCTAATTGCCGGCCAAACATCTTTTAAGATCTAGATTTTAGTCATGTACGCTATTTAAGAAATATCGTCAAATTTTATTAAATATCTTACTAATATTTTTAACAAAAATTAGATGTGAGATAAGTGAGATATGATCTACAACGTTTAACGCATTAAATGATTAACATTTATGACATAATTAATAAGTACATCATGTGAAGTTTCTTCAAATTGTCCAAAATCATTTGAGGAAAAAAAAAATTAAAAATAAACTTCGAAATTATTTTTTTATCTTATACATAAAAGACGCTGAAAAATCTATTATTGCAATTGTTATTTGCTATATTACTACAGTTATTATTCTATATAATGTGATGTAATCTATGTAGTTCTAGTAATCTATATAATTCATTTCCGTAGAGATAGTGCTTCAAAAGCACTTATCGTAAAAATAATTTTTACTTGCTTTGCGTGAACAGGTATAATGTATATAATTACAAGCACACGGTGCTCGTGCGATTCATTATTCGTAGCAAAGTTGCCGGCATATAAAACTTTAAAAAGCCTATGTCAGTCAGTGTATTCACTCTCTTTTAATTTTACCTTAGTACTTTTATATGGAGAATAATGGAAAGAATCGATGACCTCATTTTGCAATTGCACTTTTCTTAGAATAGAACCGTATATAATTTTTTTATATAAATCGATTATTTCCGTTATTCTGGGTATAAATATTCTCACTTAATACTTTTGTGAAAAAATGTATAAGCATAAAAGTAAAAAAATGCTGAAGTAAGATCAAAGAAAATATTCAAATTTGTGAATACATTTTTTACGATGTATAGGATATCTTCTCTTTGTTGAACGTTGGAGAAAAAATTCTGGATTTTTCGCCTTAAAAGAATAACGATATGTAATTTAAGTAAATTATGAAATATTCAATATATACTTTTTATATCGAAATAATTCTAATATTGGCCATCTGAAATTAAAGAATTACTCTGAGAGTTTCTTAACGGAGAAAGTTTATTGAACTCTTCTGGATAAGAGTTAACAAGATATTGAAAAGTTACCGCGAGCACATTGACCTGTACTCGTATCGATCGACTCGAGTCTGCTGCGTATCAAGTATGATTTTTAATTCACCCGATAAATAGCGCGGACTCAGATATAAATCGAAAAAGGAGAGAATCCGTAATAAAACTGCTAGACTGAATTCTAAGTATCGAAATACGATTATATATAACATAAAATTAGATATGCTAATACGTGGGACGAGCAAGCCGGTTTTAATTAAATGAAAATGCAATCAATGACACAACAACGTACGGAAAAAGATAACGAGAAGCACGAGAAAATAGATAATTTTCTTTTTTAAATAGGCTACTCATTGAAAAACATTTTGATTGATATCTGAAGTTTCATGAGCGACTTCGTTTACGCTGAAGCAGATTTATTAGACGTGACCTTCGAGTCTTAGATCTTAACTTGTTGAATGGATCGTTAAACATGTCGCTTTATACCCTTACTCTAATTCGAAGAATAAATACGTCTGAGAAAGATCCCTCACGACGGCGCGACGACGTCGTCGTCCTCGTCGTCATCGTCGGGTAGACGCACGAGGTCCGACGTGTCTACGCCGGTGGGCTGTTTTGGGCGGGCGACGCAGCGGCTGTGCGCAAAAAGCGACGGCAGTCAAGTTCAAGGCCACCGACGTCTCCATCCCCTCCGTCCCCCTTCGCCCCCTCGTACTACCCCGCCGCGTTCTGCGACCGTCGCGGCCGCCGCCGCCGTTGCCTTCCATCGCCCCCGCCACCCACTCACCTATCACCGTCGTGATATACACACATTGGCGCGTCTGAAACGCCAGTGACGTATCAAGTACCGAGGTCGACGCCGCGCGCGCTCTCGTTTTGCGAGACCGACGAGAGAGCGATTTCTCCGGGGGAGCGATCCTCGAGCGCGACGCGCGGCGCGACGGGCACGACGGGGAGTGTTTCGCTCGATCGATCTTACACCCGCGTTGCCGCGAGGGAAAATTCAATTCATCCGTCCCGGTACGTAAATGCCAATTCGGGTATCTCCGAGGCACAGATTCCGAGAGACTGTACGACGTGCGAACTTTACGATCGAGTATAGAAACGGAATCGGGACAATTTTTCGTAAATATGAATCTTGTAGAAATTTTACAGCTTCTTGAAGTACTGAGGATACGTCTTTTTTTATTTATTATAGATCAGCGAATTTTGCGCGGGACACATTTTGCTAATAAATAGAAACATAATTTTTAGCTGTTTAGTATATATGAAAATTGCATGCTTGTAAATACACATTTTTACACGCACGTATAAAAGAAAATTTATCTAAGCAACGCTAACATACAAATATACCTCTAAATATATTTATTTAGAGTCTAGGAAAATATTTTGCGAATGTCTGTTACTTCCTCGCTTCTCGGAAAGGGTGGAGCTTGGTGTACAGATGAGAGAGAGCAAAGAAACAGAGAGAGGAGAGAGAGAGAGAGAGAGAGAGAAAAGAGGATATAAATCAACATATATAGATATACGTGAAAAAGCCGCTTCGAGTTGGCACGATAAAACGCGAGCTGCGTATCAAGGTGATACGGGGGCCGCAATGTTAATGACCGATTGCCCGTGACCATGATATTATCCAAAACGACATTGCACGCAACGTTTGCGTAAAAAAAAAAACCGGTATGTTTTCAGTTCGAGACAGTCGTCTTATCGATAAAATATGATAAGATGAAAATACCTCGGTATGATTGCCCAATACGGTGCAACTGCACAACGGTAGATATTATTTCAGATTAAGAGCCATCGTTACTTTACATAATGCAGCGTAACATCGTTATTGTTTGCAGCGCAAACTTTATAAGAAGCAAACGCTATAAGACACAATAAAAAAAATTAATGCATAGAACAAGCAAGTGCAAAATGAATAAATGAGTTTAGACACAGATCTGAAAATTTTTCTGGTGTCACATGAAAAGGGACAATGTTATTGCATCTTATTGTATCTTAACAATATGATAATGTTGTGTAATATATACTATATATTATCCGTTATCTTAACACATCGGCATTATATACATATGTATAAACAAAGTCAGTGCTTTATTAGCATAAAAGTATTCTTGAATATTTCTATTATACATGATGTAACGATCTCTGGGTGTAAACGCATTATTTTGTATAGAATCTATAGAGTTTGCTCTGTAATTTTTCTCATCTGGTGCCTAATTACATGTATCATTCTAAGTAACGTGAGAAGACAACACGATACAGTACAGCCAATAAAATCCATTACATTTTCCGCTCTCTCCTCTCAATGTAGCGCGATTCTTCCAAATAGATGTACAAGTTTTGGGTAATAAAAAAGCTTATGAGCAAAAGTTGATATCGAATTACGTACATTACAATATTGTAGTTTCCGAGAACTATAATAACAGAGAACTGACAACCGATTCGACCTCGGTGGAACACTTACTCCCTTATGTTTTTTTGCCAACCGAAAAGTTGGAATCGGTTCGCGGCAATCGGGAGTAAAAACGAGGATGAGCGGCGACGAAGTTGTATTTACTCGGAATATTTCGGAACTCCTACGTATCTCGAGATGCAATCTGCCCGACAAGGCAATCCTGGACTCTAAATGTTTTTCGGGGTATTTTATTTCGGTCCTCACATTGTTCGTCAGGATGTCATCTCGCATTCCTAAATTTCTTCGTTTTCCTCATTGGGCGGGAGGACCTCGCGAAAAATCCAGATCGGGCCTGACGTATGTATGTGCGTATTTCGACGCATCGTCGACGTATACGCGGCGGCGCAGCTGCGCGGCCGCTCCGGGGCCTCCGTCCCGCATCGCCGCCGGTCCACCTCCGTCCCGTGCATCGCATCGCCGCGCTCGGCGGATTCACTTAACGCCGCCGATGCTGTTTAGCGCCTTCAGTCGCGTACGGCGCGCGTTGCCGTGAACGTCGGTGGTTACGGTGGCATCATCGTCGTCGTCGTCGTTCTCTTCGTCGTCGGTGCGCGCCCATCGTGTGTCGTCGGCGGCGGCGATATTTTGTATTGCGCGGGCGGCGCGCGCTCGCTCGCGCCGCGACGTGACGCGACGCGAGGACGTTACGGCGGGGCCGATTCGGACGGACGAGCGGTGCCGAACGGTTAGTCCCGACTGGCGGACGAGAGGAGGAGGTGGTGCACGCGTGAGAAAACGGAGACTCGGCGTGCATTTTTCGGTGTGTCGCGTGGGACGAGGGCGAGACCATGGACGCGTGGATGTACGACGTGGTAAGTGCCGTACGCGTTATACGGCATCCAACGATTTCTTCTCTCTTTTTTTCTCTGCCTCTCCGTCTTTTTTCCCTTTCTTTCTCTTTTTTTATCTCCTTTTCGTTCTTCCTGCGCGATCTCGTGGCTTTGTTTACGTGACGCGCACGTTGCGCAACGATCGCGTAATCTTACACTTTCGAAGCACTTTCGATCTTCTCCGATTGAATGTCGCAGGTTTGCGCGCCTTTAAAAAGAAACTAGAGATTTGTTACTCCGTCACTTTGTTTGCTCCATTTCGCAGATTTTGCGGAGCAAAATCAACTTAATCGAGGCTTGTATTTTGCTGAGTCACAAACGCCCTGCAATTATTGATGCTATCAAGCGCGCGATTTCATAATTTTCCTACGGTTGACGGATTTTTTGCGCGATCTTCCTCATTCCGTTAAAAAAAAAATAATAAAAAAACCGGTGTAAATCTAACAGTCCGTTTTACGATGGACGTTCGCGTGAGAATCGTGTGTGAACAATATTTTTTTACATTAATATATTTTTAATTGGTGCGAATGTGCATTACCTAAGCCCTCGTCTGTCTCGTGACGAGTCAGTCGTTACGTTACACAACCTGTCGGGCTGTTAGATAATTTGTCCAGAGTCTCGCGACTAATTTTCGTCACGCTCGCCAGTTTGTTGGTCTCGCGGGAATCCCTCTGACAACGGGACAGCCGAGCCCTCGGCCGTGGCCCAGGCTTTCAAGGAAAATTGAGTAATCGGGGGTATGTCCTCGCGCGTTGCACGTGCCGAGGTACAGGTGTGCGCGAGGACAGCCCCGAAATTCATCCACCCGGCGATAATTGAAGTGTTTTTGCGAGCGTGCGGCTTTCCAAAAACAATCGGGGAAAAACATCGTTTGTTGTGATCGCGCTCGCACGAGGCGCGTGCGGTGGCTAGCTGCTTTCGCCCCGGTGTTATACCTACGAGTTTTCTCCTCGTAAAATTCGCAAGTCGTAAAACTCGTGTTTTTTTCCCCCTCCCTCTTCCTCGTTTCTGCTCGGCTCGTTTTCAGCTCTTTGTTTGCTCGCCTCGCGCGCGAATCGGTCGGCGGCACAGCTGATGATGAACGCTCGACAGCAATTAATTAACGTTCGGGGAGAAAATCAATTTTTCCAAATTGAACGAGACCCGAGTAACGAGAAGAGTCGGAACATCCGACATTTGTGCGAGTGCATCGCCGATACATGCAACAGTCACGTGTGCTTCGCGATAAAGAAATTAAGGCAACCGGCGGCTTGCAGCGGTGCACGCGCGCATCTTTTCGGACGATAAGGAGAGACGGTGCAAAAGAATGCCCGATGTCATCTAGATCAATTACGTCGCTTACGTGAGTCGGAGATTTATGGCTGTTGACGACACGCGCACACACTCGGGTACTTCACGCTTTATTTTGCTATTATGTACACACGCGTTTCCGAAACCGCCGGGTGACCCGGCCGGGTGACCTCAACCACAAAATTTTACGGTGATTTGGGTGAATCAAAGGGAATCAGATCTTCCTATACTCACCGCGCGAAAGTGTGACCGCGCACCGATGGCTTTTGAATAATCGGCGATGTAAAAGAAAGAAAAAGAAACTTAGTTTATATTTGCTTCTCAATTACCGTTTAAATTTCATGTTTTGCAAAGCGGAATCTTATCTTGCCGACACTTTCCATACGAAGTTGTCAATACTACGTTTGACTTTCGATGACGTCGAGTAGAACGAAGTCGTGAGCGGCAAAATTGAGTATCTGTCAACAATCTATTTTCTTTTTAACGGAAAATCACGACGAGATTTATTTCAAGAATGAACGATGTACTATTCTGCTACAAAGGTTTTTGTATTATGTATTACATCTATCCGTTCGTAATGTTTACGTAACGAGTAGAGCTTAATGCTCGTTTGAGGAAAACTCTCGAAAATAACTAATGAGAAACCTACTGGAAGACCACAAGAAGATTATCTTTAGCAATTTTTGCTCGTTAAAAAATTAATCATATTTATTTATGTGGAAAATTTATTTCTGAACAGTGTAAAAAATTTCATTTTTTTGGCGCAGTAATAAAAATCCTGTAAATAAAAAATTCATTAATTCTGTAAACTGTACAAATCATCCTTGAAAGCAATAGATCTTCGAACGTTGATTTTTTAATAATTACAATTTGCAAAAGAGAAGGAAATATTCGGACTAGGTATTGGGAGGAACTTGGAAATCTTTCGTTTTTGTTTAATCGACTAGCAGCTGTCGCACACATAAAAAATTATTCGCGAAGGAAGCGCCGGCGTGTCGAGCAATTAAAGATTTTTGCGAGATCGCGCGATGTAGATGACGTATTTAATAGGCCCAATTGTGGGGTTCGCACGTGCGTCGCTGAGCGGAATACAAAATTACGAGTAGTTCTCCGATTCTCCAGTCCTTTTCCAGATTAGAACAGGACTCTTACTGTGCAAATCAATAATCCTCTGAGTGTGTCGTCGTTGCATAAATCAGCCTCAATCGCCGCCGCAATCGGCTGGCAGTTATACCTCTGAAAAGTTATTTGTACCTGAAAAAAGCGTCATCGGCTTGCGCTATTACTGTTACGAGACAATACCTCCTTTACCTATGATGCGCGTTTCGATTGTGAGATGCCGCGCTTTCGAGAGCGACTCTCGACACGGTTTTCCTCTCAGAGGCTGGACACGCAACCGCGAACTGAATGTGCTCGGCGGCGAGTCCTTACGCAATTCCACGTGCGTGAGGCGTCACGGGTAGCGTGGCTGTGGAATATCACGCTCACGTTATCGCCGATATTGTTTAGCGTTTCGATGCGCCGCGCCGCGCGCGCGTCACGAGAGAGGAAGAGAGAGGCGTCTTAATCTCTTTAGGTGCGTACTTGAACTCTTCGCCGGCCTCAACACTTTCGAGCGATAACGATTCCGACAGCCGACGGACGCTGCTCGTCTCGTCGCGCTGCCGAATTGACAAGGGGTTAAACGAGGAATTCGCGTCACCGTTCTCGTGTATGGAATATGCGAGCAATAGCGTGACTGACAATGAGATCCGCGACGATCCGCGTCGCCCGAGCGGTTAATGAAAGTGACTCGTCATCCCTTCTCAATTCATTCGTAAGTCGAAACCGATCGTCTAAGGTCAGAAAGTGACGGTTTTCGATTTTCCTTTAAATTCGAAAGAGAGCGCGACACGTGTTCCGGGGCTGTATAATTTAGTAATTTCGCGACGGTCTTCTTAAACGATATGGCTCGTTCACCACAAACGGCATATGTAAATTACAACTGGAATAAAAATAAAATCGTGTAACAGAAGCGGGCGTGCCGGGCGCGCGCGGTCAAGGCTTGATAGAAGAACAGTATTCGCTGCGCGAGTTGCGTCAACGGATATTTTCGGAGCCTCGAATTTTTCCGGCCATGCGAAAATCGGCATACTGATCGCGATGTAAAATTTATAAACTGCCTTATCGCGCTTCGTAGTCATCTGGCATGACAACGAAAATATATGCATTTATGTTGACAACATTATATTTCATTGGCTTGACAATTTATTTGCGAAACATATGGCTCAAAGATATCGTATTAAAATTGCGCATTAAAATGCACGTTCACGTTAATCTTGAGCATGTAAAAAATTGTACATTTTATGTAATATACAAATTATATAATTGTAAAAAAATATTTAATCGATTGTAAACATATTACCGTTCTATCTGTGAATTTTTTGTTGGCACCTACTGATTAGATTTTTTTTCTTTTAAAAAAAGAGGTTGAAAAAATCCCACTTCTATTGAAATCTAATTGGAATGGTTTCGATTGATAAAAAGCACTACTTCTCGAGTTTACATAATTTAATTTCCGATTTTATCCGATAAATCGATTACGTCCATCGATATGATAATAACTTGGAAAAGAGCAACGTAATTAATTAAGCGGCAAGGTGGATTGGCGTTGGAACGCTTGGGCGCGAAATTCTTGCAGGTTTATTGAAAAAGACATTACGACACACCGCGCTAGTTGCGCATAAACAAGTGCTCGCGGGTAGGAAGCGGAACGTGGTCGTGATAGAGTAGCAATGCGAAGGTCGTCGTTACGTGATACACGTGCACCGCGCGATCGTCGTCGATCGCTGACGCGCGCCGATGCACTCGCGCGTCCATGCGTCCGAAAGAGATATTCACGGATAGAGATATCCGCGATAGAGTAGGCGCGCGCATATTCCGCTTGATCGTCCGGAGATTTAATAATCAGGAGGAAAAAGGAGATATAATACTCGTTATTAAAAGAATTTAAGAAAAAATTACTCCGCTTATTTAAATGGAAATAAAAATACGAGCCAAGCGCGCAAGATTTCTGCAATATCTCTCATTGTCAGAGGCAGGCGAAATCGAACGGGATGAGAGAACTGAGAAAGTAGGCGAAAAAAGAGGACGTGTAATCGAGACATTAAGAAAAAAAGGGTTACGCGGATTAACACGAACGTCTTTGTTACGTGAGTTTAGTTTCTCATCTGTGTTTTATCATGCGAATCTCTTTTTCTTCTCTCTCTCTCTCTCTCTCTCTCTCTCTCTCTCTCTGTATGTGTGTGTGTGTGCATGCGCAAAAATGCAGACTCGTGCGGAACGAGCAACCACTGAATTCTTTTTATCTAGACGTTGTTGGCGTGAACTGCAGCAAAAATAAGTCGATTCATAAAAATTGAACAAAAAAAAGATGATATACTTATAGCTAGATTATACTTATAGCCAGATAATGTGTCAGCGGCACACCCTGCATCTTAAATTTTAATTTTTGCGTAATAGCGTCCAGTGTTAACGGCGCAGCATAGGAATATCCTTCCTTTTTCATCGAATCGTAATAATTACTTTTTTTAATGCGGTATTTCTTCAACTCCGGCTTAAAATCTCGGAGCCGAAATCGGGAAGTCGTACCTGTCTACCGATCTATTTCGCGCATTGTCCAAGGTTAGGATTTGCACCTCTTTCTTTCTCTTTCTGTCTCAGGTGACGTCATCGACGTCTCGTGGCCTTAAACTTGACTCCCCTCCGAGCATCTCGCTCCGGAGAGCGATTATTATCTTTCCCCACTAGAGCGATACACGACTCTCGGCACACCGTGCTGCCGCCGTTGTTCCGTTGATCGGCAAGGCCTACCTCTCGGCTGATCCGTTTACCGTGGATTCGTTCGACTTTACCTGAATCCCATTTATCATTCTTTATGTCGACGAGAATCTCCTCTCCTCAGATCCCACGACACATGTAAAAAAAGCCTTGCTGCAATAAATAATACGTAGAAGTCTTAATAATTAACAACTGTAAGATGAAGGAAAATGAGGCCTTACACATGTATTATAACGATCGAAATCCTTATAAATTTTTTAATCATCTTTTAAAATAATGTGCGCAGTTAAATGGTCCCAGGAGTGTACAAGATTTATGATATATCTGCTTATTTTTTGTTTCCATACATACATATGTATCGCATTATAAATGAAATTATAATTTTTAATGAATTTTGTTGTAATATAAAGGTGTTATATATGGATCCAAGCTTGACGGAATTTATACTACTTATTTTCCTTTTTTTTAATGAATATTGTAAGTGAAGCTGCAATTTAAAAAACGTGATGAGATATTATAGCGAAACGCGTTAAATTCTCTTAGAATTTCTAGACTCTCTTAAAGACCCAAAGCCTTGAATGATTCAACGGCGACGGAAGCCGATATCCACTCGACGGGGTTATTTCTCGCTGGCTGTTTTAATACTGTGATATTACACGGCCGCGTTATCGCGCTATTTTTATTGGATAAGATCGATGCGAAATCGGAGCGTAGTTCCCGCCAAGGCCCCGGCCTTGACCGCGACCCAGGGTCTTCATCCTCGGGGAATCGATCCGCTCTCTTTTCGCATTCTAATTCCGTAACCACCTACGTATGCATACGCTCGCGATATTCCGACCGCAAGCGCGCGCGAGCGGGACAATTATAATAATTCACAGATAACGTCCGTCGACTTGTTGCGAAATATCGACACATTCGCGGGATTTCAATGCTGCGGCAAAAGCATGTGAAAATATAAATAAGTCGGTCTGATCGTCGCAGAGAAGAGAGTCTAGAAGAGCCGCGCCAGTCCTTTCCAAGATTTTTTCTTTCTCCAAAAAAAAAAAAAAAAGGAAAAAAAAGACTGACACTTCTATGGCTTTGCGTGCTAGCCGTTTTTCACGAAACGGAAGATCTAACAACAGACAAGAGAGTTTCGCTTTGTTCCTGAAAATTGTTTACCGTTATCACGCTCATCGTAACTACCGGGTAGTTGCCTTAACTCGTTCCTGAAAATCGTCCGCTGTTATGTCAGACGCGCTTCATTATGCAATTCCGCGCGAACGGCCGTCGATGTCGATTCAGGCGTGCACGCAACGCGGGGGGGGGGGCGGGAAGTTAACTGCGTTATGCGACTGTTATGTGAATTGTGCACTATATCGGCCGATATCGCACCTGGCAACAGATAGGGAGCTGTTTATTGACCGATGTTAATCGCGGCGTATCTTAATTTGTGCAGCGTAGGCGATACCGAGTGCGCGCGCGCTCGCCCGCTTGTTCCGCTCGATCGTTATGTATCGGTGCACATTTATCAATCATCTTCACCATCGGGGACGATCGCGGACGAGTGCAACGAGAGCGTAAAGTTCAAGAAACCTTGGTGTTGCGAGCGCCACGGTCTTTCAAAATCAATGTCTATCGCTTAGCTTCTCCCTCTTTTCGCGATAACTTTGGAAATTAATTACTTGTTATAGCAACGTCAGCGTGATGATGATAAGAGAAACTGACTCATCTCGTCGACGATGCGCGAGAAAGGGAGATTTTTTTTCATATTTGTGGTACGTAAGAGCTATACATAAGAATCACTGGCGTCGCAATCGCAATTTCGAGCGGGGGAGGCTTAATGAAAATCTCTTATTTATTCCCCCGTGTTATCGCGCGCAAGCTCAGCCCGCAATTAATCTTCACTTTCCGATTGACCGTTGGTTACATTGAAATTAACGATGGGCTTTCCTCGTCCTCGCTCGCGAAATAGCGGACTGAGAAATTTCTGTATACATTTTTGTTGCGCTGCGTCTTGTTTGTGTTCTTTCGTGCGTGCCATCATTTCCGCGACTTAGTCTTGTCAGAAGCTTGTAGAATTTCTTGTATAAAAAATACCAAAGTTATCAAATGTCAATTCTAAATTTTCATTGTACGAAAATTAGCAAATTTTTTTTTAATTTCAATCAAGATCGAGTTGAGAGAATTTCCCTGATTGGGGTGAAAATGGAGCTCCGTAACCTCGGAGGATCTTTGGATCTAATTTTTTAAATTTATGTTTTCAATTGCTGGAATTTGCTCTTTTTCTCTTACGATAAACGTGTTGTCTAGTCCAGGCACCTCGTTTCACCTCGTTCATTTCTTTTTGAGGAAGAACCGGCCTCTCTTCAATTAAGTATATTAATATTCTAAAAGTGGGGTGCTAAGTTGTCGGTAATAGCGTCGTCGGGATCGTGTCGCGCCGCGTCGCGTCGCGTCGCGTCGCGTCGGCGCGCACAGCGGAACGGGGAGTCACGGACGTATAGGCAGGAAGGTAGGACAGAGGAGGAGATAAAACGAGATAAAACGAGATTGAGAGGCCCAAGGCCGTCGTTGTCGGCCGTTTCCGCCGGCGCTCGGCGTCTAAAATTGCGATGGCGTGGCACCGCGGCCTTCGCGAACGCGGCAGCTTCTCGCCTCTCTCGCAGAAAAGTCAAGTTCAAGGCCGGCGAGGCACATCTTTTTCTCTCACAATCTCTATCCTATCTCTCTCTCTCTCTCTCTCTCTCTCTTCCTCTCCTCCTCCCCTCTTCTCTTCCCCATGTCCGCCTTTCGAGCTCTCAATCGAACGTGCGGCTCGAACGCGCGCGGAGGGAGGAGAGAACACTTACGCAACCCTTTTCCCCTGTGGTGCGTGCAACCTGTCCCGCTAGAATATATTGGAACAAACGTATAGGACCGGTTGCACCGACGTTCCGCGCTAAATAAGCTTGCTTTAGCCGTATCCGGCGACCCTCTACTTTAGATTTATGCCCGCGACGTGCAGAAGGGATCGCTAGCTCCGAGATCATCGGTCTTGCCATATTGACACTATACGATTGAGGGAGAGCGAGGGGGCTCCCCCCTCCTCCCCGTATTTCGTAGAAGATGAAAAAGAGTTAAACGGACGTGTGTGGTACCAAGCAATTTACACCACGTTCTCCGCAGACCTGAATTCCGCGGCGTTAAATTCCGTCTCGTTTCCAAGGTTCGCTTCGGTCACAATTGTAATCCACGGGAGCGCGCGCGAATCGAAATCACGATTGGCTTTTTTCTTGTATGCAAAACGTCTCGGGATGGGAGGGGGAGGGGAGAGGATGAAAATTCTGATTAAGTTTTCGCGAGGATTCGAATGCGAAACCGGCGTCGGATGTGCCATATCTCGGGTCTTTGTCGAATGGAAGCGTGCGAGAGTTCGCATCTGAAAAAAAAAATCAAGTTCAAGGTCGACTAGATGCTGCGCCTCGCTCCCTTCCGTCTGCGAGTCTCGCTTTCCGCCGGCACACGACACATGATGTCGAACAGGATGGGAGGGAGAGGAGAAAGGGGACTTATGCAATCCTTTCACCGTTACTTTGTTCATCAGCGCCCTAATCTAGGGCGCAGTTATCTCGCGTATCCAGCCTCGAATAGCATCGTTTTATTACATCAGAGATTATAAGATAATTTTTATACATGTATGTACTTTAATTCGATCTACTTGCGAGAAATTAATTTTTTTTTTAACGAATTCGTTTTCTTTAAATACTCCGTACTGAAAGCTAAGAATTGCCTGACCGATTTTTACACGCTGTCATCAGTTTCAAATATAAAAAATGAGTACTTTGTCAAATCTTTAATAATTTTATTAACATTTAATCGCGCCGCGTGTTTAATATTTTTCGTGAATTAGAAAGTTCTGATTCAAATGTACTTTGGATTTAATTCCAGATTCTATTTTTGGACTTAAAACATTGCGATAACGCAGAAACTGATTAATCGGGGGATCTGAAATGTTTTCAGTGATACAAACAAAAACGGAAATCAATTTATGTTTTGAATCGAAGTTTCATCGACGTCTTAAACATCAGCGACTAGAATTACCGTCGAGTCAGCAATCGTGCAGTGTATGCTTCGGGTAATCGTATCCCGTGCTCGTGCAGGATAGTGTTTACACGCAGTTTGTAACGATAGTGGTTCTCAGTTTTTTGCGCTTTCCCGACGAATCTGATTTGTGCGTGTACCTACTCGATTGCACGATAGAATCCGCGAAGGGGGTGGTCCGAGGGTGGAGAGGAGAGTGACGATCGTGCCGGGGGTATATCGGATGGTGGGTATACCGCGAATTCTCTGAAGTCAATTCTAAAAATGCTCGAGGCGTTGGCCGTGCTTTAAATATAGCAGGCGCAAAAAAGAAGTACAGCCCCGACTGCAGAGAGAGAGAGAGAGGACGGCGAGTAATCTCTCGCGTATTTTTGCGCCGAAGGATTCGCCGTTTTCACGACCGTTGCGACAATATATAGAGACATCCGCGATCGCGGCTAACGATGGATAGTGTGTTGCCTCGGAAAGTCTATACATTTCTTCTTCTCTTCTACCCCTAATAGGTCTGTATGATGTCTGATGCTACCACGGAAAGCATGATCGGGAATAATAGGACGATGCCCAACATCAAGCAGGAAATCGATAATCCAACGACGCCCACGCAAAATTATCAAGTGTGTTCGCCAACCACGACTCTTCAGCATCAGGAGGTATTGTTTAGAACTTCTCAATACCTCGTAACGAACGTAGGCTGTCCTGTCATTATCATGCTAGTATTAATTATATAACACAACTTTTTAAATTATATACAAGGAATGTACACTTATTCCTCGTGATTTTCAAGAATTTTCTTTGTCAAAATAATATTCGCGATGCAAATTGATAATCTTTGCGGTCAATTCTTGTTTCTTGTCGTGAAAGGAATATATTGCAAAAAATAGAAATTTCTTTGAAAATCTTAGAACTTTTTAATTTTTTACTCATTATAGTTATCTATTATACTGTTAATTACATTGTATTAATTTTTACTTCAATCACATTTTTTCACATATTTATTCGTATATTTCTTTACATGTTTTTCATCCAAATTTTTTTATCCATATCTTTTTTTATTTCTTCATATTGTATTGTGTTTGTTTTTACTTCAATTATATTTCTTTATATAGTTTTTATGCATTTTTTTTACATATTTTTTCTTTTATCGTATTTCTTCACATTGTATTGTACGAGTATTAATTATTTCTTCAATCAAATGCTTCGCATATTTCTTCAAGTACATCTTTCATCGCGTTTCTTCACGTTATATTGTGTTAATTATTATTTCAATGATATTTTTTTTTTCAGTCGATATGCACAAAATTAGACATCGCGACGGATTACGGCGATAGCAACGGTAGTCCCGAGAGTCCAGAGATGCATCATTGTTCCTCGACGACGCAGCCGTTGGGAACTCCAGAGGTGAGTGATCGCGTCGCGATAACATTTCTCCGCGGGCAATGAGTTTATATTAGTGATGATTTATATTCGAACTGCTGTGAGATGGAAGAATTGTTGTCGTTTCTGCAGGACGGCGTTAAGGAAGAAGATATGATACCCAGGAGGCTTTGCCTTGTCTGCGGCGACGTGGCGAGCGGTTTCCATTACGGGGTTGCTTCGTGCGAGGCGTGCAAGGCTTTCTTCAAGAGAACTATACAAGGTAAGTCGGCTTATCGATTTCCGTAACGGGTCGCAATAATTCGTCCAGATAGCACCAAGGACTACGTTAATGTGCATTTTCGATCGTGTGATATTTGTATATACGTATATATACACACGTGTATATAGTTACTCCTAAACGGAATATTTGGCCGCACGTGTGGCCTTTTGTAATCATAGGTCTGAAGACCGATTGGTGTTATCTGGGACAGTAGACTGTGTATATTACGATAAAATAGCGAGTAATTTTACAGGAAACATCGAGTACACGTGTCCGGCGAACGGCGAGTGCGAGATAAACAAACGGAGACGTAAAGCGTGCCAGGCGTGTAGATTTCAGAAATGTTTGCGGCAGGGAATGCTGAAGGAAGGCGTCCGATTGGATCGCGTTCGAGGCGGTCGACAAAAGTACAGAAGATCCACGGATCCTTACACGCCGGCCGTCAAGAATACCACGCTAGAGGGTACTTGCCTTAATTTAACATTAATGCAGTTTCGCGTCATACTCGTATCGTATCTCATCTCGATTCATACAATAAGGAAAGATCTCTATTGGAGATAAAGATTTTCCCTCTTTTAAAAGACTGTTATGTGAATGGTCGTAATGTACATTAACTTTATCTTTCGTCATTCATTGTTTCAAGCTAACGTAGCGTCGGCAGGTTCTACTGAAACGATAAGTAAGCTATCATTACCGTGTATTTTTCTACGATTTCTAAAATTTATCGTTTCCATTATTGGCCTTTTATTTTAATTTCGCATTTATTGCTTATTTATCACATCTCATTATTTCTTTAATAATGCTTGTAGAGTTTCGTTTACAGCGTTAAATTTTCATTATCAGCGTTTACTAATTTAGTGCCATTTAATTTATCGCCTTGCCTTAGGGCAATTTAAACAAAGAGGCACACCGTGTCTCCGTCTTTTGCAGACAACAAGATGGTCGAAGCCTTGACGGCCTGTGAACCGGATATGCTTCAAGTGTCCAATATGACGAGTATACCGGAGATGGATCAGAGAGTCCTCGGACAACTGTCGGATCTCTACGATCGAGAGTTGGTCGGCATAATTGGTAATTATCGGCCGTGTGTGTGTGTGTTAATAATTATACGTGACGTTTTCTTTTGTTCAACGAACGCTCAATCCATTTTTCTGCAGGTTGGGCTAAGCAGATACCAGGATTCAGCAATTTAGCGCTGAACGATCAAATGCGACTTCTGCAGAGCACCTGGGCTGAAATAATAACCTTCACTTTGGCGTGGAGAAGTATGCCTAATACCGGTAGATTGAGGTTTGCGCAAGATTTTACATTGGACGAGAAACTCGCACGTGATTGCCACTGCATGGAGCTTTATTCGCACGTAAGTAATTTTCTATAAAAGCTTATCTACAATTATATATTTAGTACTATTAATCTTTTTAGCCATCAAATATAAAAATAAATGTTCGAATGAATAATTAAATAGAAAAATGAATTATTCAGAATAGTGTAACTTTAAGACCGCACGGAATATATTTCTTTCCAATTACATGAAATAGAGACCCTGGGAGAAGTGATCGGTCTACAGACGTCGATTCGATATCTATAGACATCCAATTCGACGTTTATAGATCGATCATTTCTTCCTGGGAACCTGACAAATTGGCAAATTGCTTTATTGTATTTATGTTTTATGATTCGCCGGTGTGCAATTTTCTTATTGTATTGTCTCTTCTTTGTACAGTGTATACAAATAATCGAGAGGATCCAGCGGTTGGGCTTAACGCGGGAGGAATATTGCGTGATGAAAGCGTTAATTCTAGCGAACAGCGACGCTAGATCCGACGAGCCTCAAGCGCTCTACCGTTTCCGAGATTCTATCCTGAATGCTCTATCGGATTGCGTGGCGGCGGTGAGACCCGGGCAAGCCCTCCGCGTCACGCAAAACATGCTACTAGTGCTGCCCAGTCTCAGACAGGCCGATGGAATCGTCAGACGTTTCTGGTCCGGTGTGTACAGATCGGGAAAGGTACCAATGAACAAGCTTTTCGAGGAGATGCTGGAGAATGTTTGTCGATGAGATACGTCTCGTCAAATTGCAAATTTAATAACTCGACCGCCCGTCGCCAGGATCATGCCGTTGTTTATTGTAAGCTGATGATGTTTACCACCAACGTGATTATTATGTTATTGTACATCATTATTTCGGGCACGTTTTTTTCGGTGTGCTGTTGCGCTGTCGAAGACACCAGTGAGTGATAAGTGCGTGGGAGAAACGGAGTTATCCTCCGGTCCTTCTACGATCCTTTTTATTTTCTAAATAAACTCGTGAGGTTTTTTTTCTTTTTTCTTTCTTTTTGCGTGCGAAAAGGACGTTGAAAGAAGTGGAAGTTCGGACAGTGTCTCCGACGTTTCGTTGTGATTCACGAATCGTTCTAAATGGCAGACATGCGTAGTCTTCGTTCGAAGTATCCAAAACTTTCCTTTTCGAGTACCCCATTTACAGGTACAGAAAGAGAGTAAGAAAGAAAGAAAGATAGAGAAAAAGGAAAGAGGGAAAGAAAGAAGAAGGAAAGAAAAAAGAATCATGTAATTTTTATGTTGAAACATAACAGTACAAGATGCGAGAAGACTTTCAGAAGTACTCATTTTAGGATAGGCATATGTGGAAGCCAATCGATTGGCTTTATTACCAAATAAAGTGTTTCCGTTCGTTCATGATCGCAATTACACTGAACATAGTAATTATGTAAGGATGTAATAACTGTGGGTGTTTAACATCGTAGCCATAATATCGTTGGTATTAAGAATCAGCAATCAAAATTACTGTTATCAAATGATATTTTCTCTATTCTCTTAATTGTTTTTTTTTTATTTTTTTGTTTTTGTTTTATACACTATGTATCCTGGCAGGAGCGATTTCAAATCACTTTCCGTTTTCAACACGATATAATTATATACATACATATATACATAAAATATCTGTATGTATATTGCCTCTTGCATTAGCACTTCTCTAATTATGATAGCTTAAATGTGAAGAAAATCGAGTAATATTAATCGATCTATTTGTGATAGCTGTATTGAACATCCATAGTTATAGCGATGTAGAGATATGTCTTTGTACATTATTCTAGAACACATCTTTGTACAATGTAAACAAGATCAAGTTGAAATGAGTGTGAGTAGGTGAACGGAAGAAAGATAGCGGGTAGAATGGCTGAATTGTTCCTCAATCGGAGAGACACGCTGTTTCTACAAAAAAAAATTCGAACTTTGTATTCGAAATATATTTTATGGAAACTGTCGGCTAGGCTATCGTCACATTATCATGTTTTCGTTGGCGGTAAAAGTATCTACCCGGTTGTTAAAACGGTCGCGTTATGTTATATTTGCCCGTGCCACACAAGATAAAGAGCAGGAAAATATATTATTGCTATAATATATAATTATTAATATTATTATTTTTACAATCATTATTACGATCATTATTATTACGTTAATATACAATTAATATTATTATTATATTCAGGGATCTTTATTATCTAGTTGTCACTAATTATCATTGTTACGAAAATCAGCGAGCATAATATTACCGATGCATTGATGCACCGCCGTAACATTATATTAATTGCCTTTCACGATGAGGAATTTTTAGGAGAGAACGAGAGCCATATTATAGAAAGTGAATAAGTTTCATGGAGCTTCGTTTGACGATTCAGTCGCGAGTCTACGGCGGTTTTTATCAATTCCACTTATCAATCACTCCGTCACTCGCTTGGAAAATATGCTCATTTAACTTCCTAGAATTAAAGCGAGAGCTAACGGTAGATGAGCTAGAAAGACATTTGCCAAAAAAAACAAGATAGAATTTAAATTCAGTTCTTTCTTATCTGTTATTTATTACTTTTATTTAAGTCTTGTGTTCACTAGAATAAAAATTTATGGCAAAAAAGTGATATATGTATCTTTCTAATTAGAAAATCATTTTCTCAAGTGGTAAAAGCCGCACGTGGACCTCGTACTTATCGCGAGACATTTCGTTATGGGTCTAGAGAGTGCAATAAAGTCAGGACACGCAGTTTACTTTCCTTCTTAATAACAAGACGACGTTGTCCCTTTGCTCTCCATTGATTGTTCTTATTTTCTGCCTAGGCTACACGAGCGTCTTTCTCCTTATTCTTTCTGCATTTAAATCCGTGGAAAACAATTTGCGGTTCGATGTTGCACTCTTCCTCACGCTTCTCTAGTGATCTGCATTACTTTCTTGACTAACTAACGTAATTAAAAAAAAAAAAAAAAAAAGGAAACAGAAACCGAGTTGCCGAATTTTTCGCGTTCTGTCGAACAGTTGCGCCCGATTTGATTTTCAAATTCTAACTGATTATTTTTTGTTTCTTGAAAATGATAATGATTGAAATGATGGAGAAAATTATTACACCCGGGAAATACAAAGACGTCTTAAAAAATTTAAAATTTTAAAATTACAAGTATCTTTGGAGTTTTATTATATGTATATTTGCAGCAACGTTACATTATTATTACAAATGTATAGCGCACTGCAATAAAACGTTATAATGAAACATTTCTGTAATGTTTCTTGCAACCTTCTTGTTGTTGCGTCATTACCGAAATGTTTCATATTGTACGGGAATTAATGCCGTCCAAAAAATGTTTTACAAAAGATTTCGATTTCAGTTTCAAAAAAAGATGATGTTGAAGTAAATATTTGTGAATATAACTAAAGTTTTTTTTGGAACTATCTTAAAAATGTTTTGTAAATATATTTTTTTTGGAAAAGTCACGTACGTTGTCTCGGTAATATTTGTTTTCCTTTTTTTCGTCCGAAAATACGATCCGTAAGACACAGAACGTTCCAGCGATCGCTGGAACGTTCTGCGCTGTACGAGCAATGCGCATAGATCGGAAGATTTCGTAAAAAAAATTGCAAAATGTCTAAAGCTCTACTTCGCACAGAGAGTTTGTGTTTCGCCGTGTTATGTACGTCAACGTATTTCGAGCTCATTAAGATGTAAAAAAAAAAGCTTTTCTCCCCCTCCCCCGATGACATTCTCCGTGTAACGCGACACCAACATTTTTTTTCTTTGTCTTTCGTTAAGGCTTACGAGCTTTCCCGTTTAACTGTGATATTCGCGTTACTGGACTAATTACATTGCAGATTCCACTGTCGCCGTGGAATAGATCCGTAGAATTAATGTTTCCTTCTTTTTCCCCCTCCCTGTATTGTTGAACGCGCGTGTTGAAGGAACCGCGATGCAGGTGTTAAGATATCTCTGTCGATCCACAGATATCGTCCAACCCCTCCCTCCCCTCTCCAAGTTTCCGGTATTGTTTCAATTCCTTCCATTTGAGAGACAAATCAGGATAATTTTCGCGAGGCCGTTTCCTTCCGCGCAGTTACCCGACTTCTTCCTAATTCCGTTCTTCACGCTAATTTCTGAGCCACTTGGTCCCGCTTTTTCCCCCCGCAAGTTTATCCGATCAACTAACAATCGTGCAACTCCCGCAGTTTGATGTCGCAAAGTTACCGCTACCCCCTCGAGGCCCTCCAATCGTGCCGGCGCGATGGACGCAGAAAGATTTTTTTTTAAGGGCGTACAAGGGCAGATATTTTCGCGTGCGCGTTGAAGAGAGACAGAAAAAAAGAAAGAGAATGAGAGAGAAGAAAAAAAGAAGGCGTCAGGTATTTTTGTGTACGCTGCCGGATTATGAAGTCCCATACTTTTTCGAGCATTTTTCTTTGTACATATGTAATCACACCGATTCGCCGTGGCGGTAGAATCGTAGTCTCAGGGTTGCAAGCAAGCAAACACACGATACAAACGTAGGCACATTCAATTAGTTAAGCGTGCGAGTACATCTCTGTCAGACATTATAGAAATAGTACATAAAACGATAGATTTTAAACGAGGGGAAAGAATAGGGCGTTGACAAAAAAAAAGTACGATACGTTACGTTAGGAATTTCGCGGGGAATTTACGGAGACGAGGCCGAGATATTTATTGGGGGAAGGAAAAAGGAAAGCAAGCGCGGGGCGTGGACGAAATTATCGATAAGAGTGTAATTATTGTAAGGCGTTACGAGACGAGACCGTTAGATTTTTACCTTTCGCGATGGAGCAGGCGTACTCCCGACTCGCCGAATTTTCACAAAACTCGCGTTTCGCGTTGCGGCACGTTTGTCTGGATTGGCTGCGAAATCTTCCTGTTTTGGACGCGTGTGACTTGTCACACGACAGTGATTTGTTGAGATCTCGTATTAGAGAGAGAGAGAGTCGTTAGAGCTACGTGTAATTTATTGTGGAACTGGTCTACTCGAGAGAGAGATATATGGCGAGGATTCTTTCTTTCGCGAGTTATAAAAAAAAA